GACGCCGCGGCCGGGGCCTGACGCCGCCTCTCGCCCGCAGGCTGCGCATCGTGGACGACGACGTGAGCTGGAGCAGCCTGGGCGCCGCCGAGGGCCCCGAGCGCGGCGAGGAGGAGGATGACGAAGGCGACCAGCCCGTGGTGGGCACGGGGTCGGGTCCAGGGAGGGGGTCCTGACGAGCGGCCGTGTTGCTCGGGACGAAGCCCTGCCGGGGTCGCGGAGGCCGCGCAGGGGAGGAGGCAAAGGGGATGCGGAGGCCCCATCCCGCAGCCTGGCCCGGGGGTCTTATCTTAGGGGTGACCTGGGCGAGTGCCAGGGCCAAGCTCGTTGTTCGTGTGGGGGGGTCGAAGCATCCGGCCCCGTGTCGCACCCCTCGAGCCGGCTTCGGGAGCCAAGAGTGTCTCCCCCCACCCAACAGCGTGCACGAGTGACGCTCGCACCTCGCTTTATTGGCGTGACTTAGGGCCGTGTGTTACTGCAGGATCCGCGGGCTGGATCTGGCTCGCAGGCTGTATGTTGGACGTGGGTTCAGGCTGTTTTGGGTTCCCCGGCGAGATGCGGCAGTTTCACCTCCTCGCTCTCCTGGGCCTGGGGGCTCGTTAGTAGACACTGCGGGGAATGTCACAGGCTGACACACCCGCGGCCCCTCCCCCTCAGAGAGTCTTACGGGAATGGATGGGATGCTGTTAGGCGTGCTAATTATTTTTAAATTCTTGCCTTCGAGACAAAGCTCTATTTCGAGCCTAGGCTGCCTGCTGGCAAGGCAGGATTTACAGAAGCGATGTGTTTTTGAATAAGAAACGAGTAGAACGCGATTGGAAAAGCACAAGCAAAAAACGAGGGAGGAACACTGTGACGTGTTACAACAGCTCCGTACCTTGACCGAGCAAAGCCCGTGCCGTGGCTCACATCAGCTAAAAGCTGCGACTCAAGGAGCCGAGGGGTGTTTCCTGTTCTGGAGCTACGGAGAAAATTAGTGGCAAACGCAAAGGGCAGAGATGTTGGAAATGGGTTTTGAGATCAGTGTGTAAAAAGTCTGCGTGGTCAAAATAAAGGAGGTTTCTGGCCCTGCTCCATGAGTATTTAGATGGAAAAACCGTGTTTTCAGAGCGCTGTAACTCTGGCGTGCTGCTTTCAGGTGGCAGAATTCATCGACGAGCGCCCGGATGAAGTGAAGCTGATGGAGGAATTCCGAATGAACAGCAAGTGGAAGCTTTTAGGAGGTCCGTGTGTGCCGTGGCCGCCCGCGAGGAGGCTGGGGGGAGGTGGCGGATCTAGCAACAGTAAGGTGCTCAGCTTGATACGGTGCACTAAACATACAGCAAGCCTCTGGTCCAAAGAAGTTACGCTTGAAGGACAGAGCTAGAGAAGATGAGAAAACCAGGGCTGAGCAGAGCTAAAGCTTTATTGGGTTTTTATTCCCCGTTTGCATTACAGATCCTGTCTTGTGGAAGGTAGGCATGGGGCAAACAGGGATTTGACCAAAGAGGAGGAGGTTTGCCTCAGTGGGGATGTTCCAAGAAGGGGAGATGCGCAGCAGAAGGGGAGAGGAAATGAATGGGGTTTCAAGACTGGGTGTGTTCTGGGAAAGAGCAGAGCTAGCAGATGATGATGGCAGGACCCACTGTTCGTTGTGGGGACAGGTAGAGTTGGGAATGAAAGTGAAGCTCGAGGTGCCTGATCTTACGTGACTGCAGTAGCGAGGTGTTCTGCAGTGGCCAGGGGACTGTCAGTGGTGTGACGGGTGCCTCTGACTTCACCAGAGCAAATGTGGCCCGGCCTCCCATTCTCCTCTCCCAAGTGATTCACCTTTGCAAGCTGAAAAGTGAAATGTCCTCAGTGAAGATTCTTTAGCTGCCCATGGCCCAATAAGCTTCTAGGTTATGCTGTGATCTTAGCGGAGAATCGAAGTGGTAATTTTCTACTTTTTCTTTAGAACAGGATGAAGATTCCAGAAGCTCAGACCGGTCTCTGACTGTCAAGTCGTTAACGAGGTAGGAGGCTCTCACCAGGCCTGGTCCTCCTTTGTACTTTGTTTTCAGTATAGCCCTTTCTGTCTTGGGGTCTCCAGGCACGTCTCAGTAAAGCCTAATGGCATTTTTTGAGATCAGTCAGGGCTGGATGGGGATTGCTTTCTCTACTGCTGATTGCATTCTCTCACCTCTGGGGAAAAAGCAGCAGCCAACAGAGTAACCAATAATAATGCATTATCTTTTTTGATACAGAGTGTGGTATTGTTCCCTGCTCATGGAAGGTACCAGGAGAGCATGGGTGCAGCTGGGGAAAGAAAGGTGGAAAAGAGCAAGGATACTAAAGTTACATTACTCCTCCTTTTTTGAATGCCACCCTTGGACCTTTAGAGACTGGTCTGAAGTATTTAATTAGTAGAAGATGACTTGATGAACAGGGTAGAGTAACTCTGCTAGGTGGTTTCAGTGGCTTTAGGAGCACTGTGGGATTGCAAAGCGAGGCTGTTAAAAGTTTTGTCATGAGCCAGGTTCCAGCTCGGTGTTTTGAGGGCCACAAGGCGAGAGCGTGGCCAAAGCTTGTGAAGCAGTAGTGACAGGCTGGGGATGGCAAACTGGGCGTTAACTTGTGAAACCAAAAACCAAGTGTGACTCAGTGACTAGAGCTTTATTCAGAAGAGCTGTTTTCACCCATGAGACCCACTGGCTGTTCTCTAAACCTGTGGCTTGATTTCTGTTTCCAGTTCAGAAGTGACAAAGTGGAAGAGAAATAAAAGCTCGCCCAACCTGTCGCCGCCGCGCCAGGGCCGCCATGGCTCACCTGACCCATCGCTGCCGCGCTGGGGCCGCCATGACTCGCCTGACCCATCGCTGCCGCGCTGGGGCCGCCATGACTCGCCTGACCCGTCACCACCGCTGCACTGGGGCCGCCACGACTCGCCTGACCCATCGCCGCAGCCACACCGGGGCCACCATGACGTACCTCACCTGTTGCCGCGCCGGGGCCGCCACGACT